ATTTCGAAGATCAACGTTCATCCCAGGATGGTGCTTTGGGGAATACGCGCTTTTGTCAAAGATCCCTTTGCAGATAGGCATTTTCTACTTGATGTTCAATTTGAAGGTTTCCTAACTTTGTGATGATAGATTGCCTGTTTGGTGGTGCTTACGAGGTGCTCGGATTGTGTGCGTGTGCCTCAACATCATTAGCTCCTAAAAATCTTGTCAAAGAGTCCGGGTCACAATGTAAAACTGCCTCGAATGTGTTATTTTTTACGCTCTTTTGACAGTTTTTCATCTGTTCTTAGCGTCTACGAGTTCGTTTAGGAACGAGTTTTTCACTGATTTTGTTTCAATTGGTGGTGGCAGGGAGGAGGGAGAAGGGAGAAGGAGTCTAGTGGTGAAAGTTTACAATCGATTTGTCTCAATCTATGTGATGTTCGCACCTGCCTCTTGAAAAAGCTGCTCAGCGATATCAATCTTCCTACTGAACTCTCTCAAGGACATTGGCGGATCTAGCAAATTGGCAACACTGTTTTTCTCCATTTAAACCTATGGAAATGTATCGAGTCTTGGAGGGGCCAGGTGCCCCGACAAGAATCGATTATTTAACATATGTTTAAATGGAAGGAATCCGTTGTTGCCAAATTGCTAGATCCACCCCTGCTCAAGGATAAAATGCTCGAGAGAAATTTTAAAACTTCCACACGCTAAATTTTAGAAATGAGTCGTTACAGTCGTGAGTTGAAGATACTTCATCTCAAAATTCTTTTGAGACTGAAAATCATATATTTATTTTTACATGCAAGAAGGCTAATACTTTTTTCAAAGTTTTATAAATTTTCGTTTAAAAAGGGGGAACATCTCCTGAGCTCTTTAGATAAAAACTGCAAGTTATATTTGGTCAAAAAATGCAGTAATGTCATTTTGAACAACGCTCCCGAACGAATCTGTATGCAAACACTTCTTCTTGACTGTCCAGATAAAATAGAACGTATCGTAGGCAACGATAGAACATGAAAATATTTTCAAGCAAACCTAAAAGTATTTTCAAATCTCACCGTTCCAGATTAAGAGTGTTTAAGTGCAGCTACCCTGTACCTCTGCCCCAGGTTGATATTCTTTCCTCGTCTGTTGTATACGAACGATGTAGCCAATGTCCGCTTTTCTCGAGGTGGTTGATCCGCAATTGGACGTATTTAAACCAAAAGGGACTACATGCACTCCAACATGAGCCCTGAGATCCATAGGAATACATGCACGGTATGGCTCAACTTACAATGAATATAGTTCCTTTAGATTTAAATACGTCCAATTCGTTTACTTTGTTCGTGCAACTGCGTGCAAAAACAATAAACTCCGAGATCTTCCAAGTTCCAAGACAGAAAATCATAGTGCAATGTAGGATATAAAAACCTCAGAATAGACGGTTCAAGAATGTACTCAGAATCGGTAGAGATGAGAGGTTACTTACCCGCAGAAGTGCTCCTCGTAATAAGCATACTTGCGCATTGAGACTTTAAGATGATCGGTGGGTGTTGCAAGACCGGAGAATTTATTATAGTAATACGATCAAATGGCGCACCGGCTCAGCAGGAAGATGACAAATATATGGGCCTCACATATTTAGAATAGATTTAATTGTTATACCTTTATTCAATGTTTCTGATGCCAAAGAGTGGAGGACGATATTCGTTTTTCTATGATTTATTTTTTTAACGTTGATTTACTTTTCTCAAAATTGATAGTTGAAATTTCGGCGAGGCGAGTTCTTTCACGCAACTTTTCTCATCTTCTTCAGGGAACTTGAAAACGTGCCCTCGTAGAAAACAGCTGAGCGTTTCTCTACACTGGAAAAAAAAAACACATTGGATCTAGAGTCTAGACTTTTAAAAACATCAACAAGAAAAATACTCTTGATTCAATCAGATTTAAGCTTAAATCAAGAACCAAGCCTCTTAAATTGTGCGGATTTCCTTTTGATTTAAGCTTAAATCTGATTGAATCTAGAGTATTTTTTCTTTTCAATGTTTTCAAGAGTCTGGACTCTAGATCCAATGTGTTTTTTTTCTCCAGTGTAATACGAATGAATCAGAGCTTTCCCGCTTGCTTCATTTTATTGTTATTATTTTACTTATTATAATCGTGTATGTTAATCATGAATTTGTTAATGTCTCTAATTCGGCCTTAGTGGGCCCATTACTTCAACGACAATGAAAAATATTGCGTATATACACGTAAATGCAGTTCTCGAAAGCTTCGGCACTCGGTCCAAAGGGAGGACGGAAAGAAAGCTGGCACACGCGCTTGTGGGGGGAGGGGGGGAGGCGAGGGAGGCGATTGTTCCGATCACGTGTTCAAATCAGTAAAGTTGAGGCCTCGCTTGAACAATAGCCTCCAGACTTAAGATACCGCACAGTCGTAAGTTGAAACTTGTGCGTTAAGTCGCTCGAAGATCGGTGTTTATCCACTCATTTCTTTGAAGAGGGGCTCGAACAAGGCCTCCCAAATAGCACAAAAATATTTTTAAAATGTTTTTAAAATATTGTCATGAAAATATTTTGATAAAGGTGACAATATTTTCAAAATATTTTGTGCTATCTGGGTTGTTGGAGCCCTCCTCTTTGGAAAAACTTGTTACCTACTTTTTTTCGGGAAGCACAGACCTGTGTCCCGCGGTGCTGAGGATAAACGCCGTATGAGCCTTCAGGCGTTGCCTTTCCCCTGGCAAATCGCTAAGTTTCAGGAAATTTTTTGAATATTTGTGTACCAATTTCTCAGATGATTTGGTTTCTAATTTGATCTAAAACTTCTGAAAATGTCAAGGAAAAATATTCATAATTTCCCTCAAAAATGAACATTTTATCGAAGGAAATTTGGCAACGCTCGAAGGTTCGTACGGCGTTCTTCCTTAGCACGGCAGTGTTATCGGTGCGTTACGAAAGGAGGGGAAGGGGATAAAAAAATCAGTGCCTAGCGCTACGTATTTTGAGTAGATTTTCTGATGTTTCTTTCAATGGATTGCGTGAACGTGAAAACGAACCTCCGCGACAATGAAACATTTTAGTTTGAGTTTTGCGCTTATTTGAGGGAGATGTTCGTCAAAATAATGATTATGGTAATACTGCTATGGAATGATTATTGTTCGTCGCCAAATAAGGTGCATCAAACCGTCTTCGGCTTTTATATGAAAGCGGCACCTCCTGTGGAAATCATTAGATTACTCATTGATGACACATAATTTATCTTCATTAAGTCGGATAAAACCACGCAGATGAAAATCGCCGCCAAAGGTTTCCTGTCGACCAGAGGGATCAAGATTTCCAGATCAACTTTGTCATTTTATAAAAATTTGCTAAGACAAACAATTAACATCGGGCATTAAATCATATTAAGAGGGGGCTTGTCTTAAATACTAGAGGCACTCATTTTGCTGGGTGCTCTCCGCCTGCTTATCAATCAGAATCCATCCGACAGTGTTTCTTTGAGAGGGACCGAATTCATGAACATATTAGGAAGATCACATACCTGATGCATGAGAAAATGCATTCCTATTAGCTACTTGGGGGCTATGCCCCCTGGCCGCTGCGCGGCCCAACCCCCAGAGGGCGCTTCGCGCTCTCTTAGGCCCGCGTCGACCAAAAAAAAAAATGAAAAAATTTTCATACCCGATTCTCATTTGTACAATCTGTCTCTGATCGGGAGCGAGTGGACCAATAAGAATCGAATAAAAAACGGCATTTATTTCAAACGAAAAATGTATTGCAAAATAGGTAAGATATACTTGAAATCACTACATCGCAGGGTAAATTCTTATCCTTCCGCAAAGAGAATGTTAGATACAAAGTGAATCTTACGAACGTTCCACCGATAAATGTCGGGTTAAAACTTGCTCTCAGAGAAGCAGGACGAGATAGCACGTGAGTGTAAGTACACGGAAACCAAAGAGAAATCCTTCCGTTGCTGATACTATGTTCGCTCCTTCCTTACTCACAGTGGTGGAATTGAGTGGTATGAATGAGATCGGTAAGCTCATGAGCACATGCAAGGTGCTTCTTCAATTTTTTTTAGGAAATATATTTTCCTTCTCTTCCAGTTTTATCCTCCCCCCTCCCCTCCCCTCTACCCAACCCTCCTTACGGCGGTGTCTGCCACCTGCAGCCTGCATGGCTGCCATCACAAAATTATTTTACATTCTGAGGGTATAAAATTAATTGTAAGTATAAGAGCAGTTAAATCAGCATTTTGGTCCCATCAGAAATAATTTGGATATCCAAAGTGTGTGTTGGCATATTATTTTGATCGGATCAGTTTGAGCTGCTTAACAATAAAATGGACGTATTTATGCTAAAAGGAACTATGTGCATAGGGTTTGCGTGTAACATAGTTCTTTTTAACATACATACGCCCAAATGACCTCTTCAAATGTAAAATACTGTGTTACAAGGGGGAGGGGGGGGGGGGGGGGGTAGTTGGCAGCATTACGTAACCCTCTCTTGCGTTAATAAACATACAGAAAATCTTTCAACTTTTCAACTTTTTTATCCATTATCACAATAAAATATTAAAAATTCCGAAAAAGTGCGTTACGTTATTTATGAACGCTCCCAAAACTCGATTCCTGTTTTAACAGAAAGTCGGCAAATTGAGCACTTATCTGAGAGTATTCCCATATTTTAGGCTGGTAGACTGGGTAAGGACCTCTGTTTATGTACCTAGATATTTGGTCAAAGACACAAAATGAAAAACAAATAGGTTCAAACATTTTTGGAGGTTTTCCGAGTAAATATTGGAATTATAGATTAAACTTCGAGCATATTTTCTGAATTTTTGATGATTTTTATCCGCATACTTGTCCACAAAATAGCGAGGCTTTAGGAAGTGTTTGACCCAGTTTTGAATGATCATGAGGTTAGAGTACTTTTATACCATTGCGCTTTCTTGTTCTTCATCACAACGTCGGTGCACAAATCCAGATGTAAAAGAGTTTTCTAGGTGGTGACAAAACAAGAGCAAACTAAAATTAAATCAATAATAATTATTATTCCGAAAGTACAGTATTCCAAATGGCTATTAGTGATTTCATTCAATCGCACAAGCAACCTTCCTCCAGATAGGCATAATGATTTTAAATCAAGTTCTTAATAAGCATGGTGGTTAACATGACTCTATTTGGCAATTATGAACCACAATTCTTGGCTTATCCGTAAAAACGCTTGTGCCAGTGGCGTGGCGTGCTTTGCAATATATAGATTGATCTGCCATTTAAACCTATGGCAAAGGATTGATAAACAAGGTGTTAGCAACGAACACCTTGATATTTGATTCCTTACCACAGCTTCAAATGGGGGAATATCGATAATCGATCGTTCAAGCCTCGCCACTGACTTATGTGCATAGGCAGACTAACGATACATACGTTGTTTCTAACCTGAGCCAAACATTTTAGTACCTAATTCCACAATTCTTATTATCTACAGCCTTCTGGGTCATGGCATGGTGTAATACTGCGATGGATTCGAGCGGTAGAATCCACTAAAAAGTTGGGGAGGGGTTGCTGAGTAGACTCAATCACCTATAAAACCATATTGCTAAGACCTAGGTTGCTGCCTGCATGGGAAAAACAAGCATCGCGGTTAGAAACGGTGCTCTGTGTTTCCTGTCCAGGCAACAGCTCAGCTGAAAATTGCAAGGATGAGACAAAATGATGTCATGCAGAGTCTTAGCTCCTCGGTTCCCATGTGAACGCAGTCAGCCCGGAAAATCAGAGTCCCGTGTAAGGCCCTGATTGGCCCGGATGATTGGGCCGCAGGGGAGAAGGGAAGCTAAAGCCACGCTACTCGCAATTTTCAGAAAATCTCTGGAATCAGTCTCGTCTTACAATTAGCTCACCAGCGATCCTGGCCAGGCCGCGAATCGGCCCACCACGCCGCGCCGTGTCTAAACGCACTCCGCGCGGAAGCCGCGTGTAGGTTTGAGAGAGTTTCGAGTGTGGTTCTGATGGTGTTCTGATTCTTTCTGTTCTTAGTGTGATGAGTCTATCGAAAGTATAGAATAAAAGTGTCGTCGAAATTGTCAAGAAGTGTAGTTCGTTTTGTCACTGTGCCCTACCTACTTTTCACTTCGAGGAGCAGCGGAAGGCTCCTCGCCCCTTTTCCCCCAAAAATTCATACTTCCGCTGGTGGAGCTACCCCTCCCCTGTTAGAAAGCGTTTGAGTGTGAGTGATTTCTCTTCGTTTTTCTTTCGCGCGTTCCAATACTCAGCAGCAGCATTTTGTACTAGAAGTGGTAAAGAGTCAGTGGGTTCCAAATATTTCTCATCCAATTTAGGTTCCTTTTCCCACTTTTCATCATCCCGTGGTAAGATGTCATTTGCCCTTAGAAACCGCACTCTCTCTGCATTTGGTAGCCTACTAGCTTCAATTCGTTTTAGGGTCATTTTTTTAATCTTTCCGAAATGCTCCTCTGTCCTCTCGTCCTGAGCAACGTTACAAAACTGCCAAAAAAGGTACACTCCAATCAATTCCTTTATTCTGCCGATTTGAAGGGTTTTGTCGTCAAGAGTAGGTAAGAAACCGGCAAATTCTGGATACTTCATAATTTTAGGAAGGACCTTGTCCAGATGCCGACAAGCAGAGTCAAAATGTTTACGATCCAATTTCATGTGGTGGAATCTTAAGTACTGAGGAAACATCATTATTAATTTTTTATGCGTGATCTTGTTAAAAAAGTTATATTGCTCTTGTGTCGGAAAATCCTCGAACCACGGGGAAGGCAATGCAGCATCCTCTATATAGTATTTTTTTTCAAGATGAACAATATCTATATATTGGTTGTTCCGACACTGCTTTATGACCGTATCGTAATCCGTGTAATCCTTCATGGCACAATCGACTAGCATTCGAAGTTCAAGATGAAATCGCGAGGGAGAAGTGCCATTGAAGTGAGCAGCGCGGATGAGCTTCTCCTCAAGACGTACTGGATCGAAATTAAACTCATAAAAGACGGGGTCCAGTTCATCTCCCAGATTTGGTGATTGGTAGTCTCGATAATTATTGTAGGGCACCTTCTCACCATTCAAAGTCCTTACGAGATAAGGGTCTTCAAGGGTCTTTGAATCACCTAAGAAAACCATGCAGAAGATTAAAATAAAAGGGAACACTGAAAATTGAGTTTCTGTGCATACCGCACCACCGTGGGAAAAATAGAACTTTATTCTAGTGCGGGGCGTGAATGAACTATTATCGATGTTTCCTCCATTTGAAGCTGGGTACAGAATTGATTGTTAGGCCTTGTCTCCACGGGCCGTTTCACGGGATTTGTCTCAGGGAAAAATCCTAATTACGAGGTCGGGAAAAATATTGAGTTAATCAATATTTATCCCAGTACCAAGTATGGTCTTTGTGCCCCTAGGACCAACTGAGAGAAGAAGAAGAAGTGCAGAGCGAACTATACGACATTTTGTCAGTTACTCCACTGTTCAAGTTTGTTTAGTTAAAATAATGTGTCCAATTGTCAATCGTGTTCAATTATTATTTTAATCCCGATTAAACACTTGATTTTTACTAACTTACCCTCCCTCGCAAACTTGTCGCAGGAGTGTATGAGCCTATGAGCCCCGTCCCGTGGAGACGGTAACTGGGAAAAATCCCAGAAGTTTCATTCCTGCGATTCGAACTTGGGACAAATCCCATGAAAACGTCCCGTGGAGACAAGGCTTTAAGGTGTCCGTTGCGAGCACCTGTTTATCGATCCTTTTCCATGGGTTTACATGGTATAGATCAATCGATATATCGCAAAACGTGCCACGACACCGATTAATTCCGAGTTGGAACCTGGGTAAATATTGTACGTGAATGGTGAAACTAGAAAAACTTTTTTACGACTTCTTGAAGGCTCCTTGATTCAGGAAAAAAATATGGACCTGATTATTTTGTACGAAACTCTTTTCTTATCAACGAAAATTCTCGAAAAGACAAACTTAAGACGACATGCGATTTTTAGCATCAATGATGACGGATCGACCTTCAAAAGGGAAAACGTTTTAAAAATATTTAATGTTACAAATCGATATGTGAATGTTTTTTGACAGTGGAGAGGCGTGAATGATCGATCATCGATATTTCTCCATTTGAAGCTATGAAAAAGAATCGATTTTTACGATGCTCGTTGCGAACACCCTGTTTATTGATCCTTTTCGACAGGTTTAAGTGACAGATCAATCGATACATTGTAACTCCACGCCACTGTTTTTTAGCTCGATCATCTAGTAAGGCTTATCTGAGATCAGGTTTTCATATGGGGAAGTTTTAATCGAATGCAGGTTGATTATTGAAATTGATGAACAAAACGATAGACAAAGATAACAAAGAGAAAATTGAACGCTCCTGTTGGTGAAAGCGGGTGGTTGCAATGGACAAAAGAAGTATGCCAGAGAATACATTTACTAACGGAATCCCACGAGAGACCCTACAGTTAGTCAATCATCCTCTCCCTCTGTCTGTAACAACCACCCGCTCAATCTATAAGACCGCTCCATTTTCGCTTTTTACTTTTCCTCTCTGGAGAATTTGCACACGCAAATATCGCTTCATCTGAAAGTGCCTGATGAGCTGAGTTTGCAGTATTTTTCATAATTTTTTTCTGACATGGGAAACTGGAGAAAAATTGATGTAAAAATGAGAAAATACGCCGCCTTATGAAGTCATCTGGCGGCATTTCCCATTTAAACACATGTACTTGAGCAGAATCGGTTATTTTGTCATATCTCCTCTAACAATAGCTCAATTTATAAATCAAGGGTATCTTCGTGTTCAGTTCACTCAGTAGATTCCACTTAAACACGAAATTCATCAAATTTCAGATCCTTGCAAATTCTCCATTGTCCAGATTGTCTGCGTCTTTCACTATCGACATGACACTCTCGAGCTGTGATTTAAGAGAGCCAAGTATGCGTTTCCAACGTCAATCGCAATAAGTTTGAACATAAAAAAAAGCAATGTTCTTTTGAACTTACTTGTAGCCAGGAATAATGTCAAGAAGACAGCCGAGGCAAGGAAGTTGTGCGATATCAAATTAACTCGCAGGCTTTTTCGTGGGAGGTTCACGCACCATGCTGAAGACCCTGCCATTGAGATTCAATCCGGGAAGTAATTCTACTCTGAAGTTTCAAACGAAAAACATATTTTAGGCTTAAATAGTGCTTAACTTAAAAAAAAGGAAAGCAGTGTATATAATCTTGGTTGCTGCATGCACGGAGAAAAAAAAATCGTTCGTGGGAACCGAAGTTTAGGTCATATGGATCTCTGAAGTTTTCAGATTGAGCATCTGAACACTTTAGGTCTAGCTGCCGAAGTTCGGATCATACATCTGAAACTTCAGTTCTTACATCTGAAGTACTTCGGTTCTCACATCTGAAGTACTTCAGATGTGAGAACTGAAGTTTCAGATGTATGATCCGAACTTCGGCAGCTAGACCTAAAGTGTTCAGATGCTCAATCTGAAAACTTCAGAGATCCATATGACTTAAACTTCGGGTCCCACGCACGAGTTTTTTTTCTCCGTGTGCAGTCACGGGACTGTCCATAATTTATGTGACGTGACATTTCCGATTTTTTATACACCCCTTGTAACGCGATCGTAATGTTGGTCCAGCCCCCCCCCCCCCCCCCCC